AAATTTTTCTTTGTGCAAATATTTCAGTCAAATTAAAAAGGAAAAAAGGTAAACGTGCTATAAAAAGTTAAAAATTGTTACTGTCAAACTTTTTATTATTAAAAAATTGATATACGACATAAAAAGTTAAGGATATGTGAAAAATAAGCACTTTAGAAATCTTGAGGACGGCCGTGGGCTCACCAAAGAAGTCTGAAACAGAAACCGAGCTAAACAATTTTATGTTAATATTAGAGGTACAAAAATTTTGTATTAAAGAATATTTTTAATTTTTAAAATGTAGAAATTTTCAATAAAGCTTTCAGTCTGAATAAAGTAAAGCTATAAAATATTAATTTATTGTAATTAAAAGAATCGCTTTTCATAAGTTATTGTTCTTGCTTACAAATATTAAAGCTATTAATAAAATAGAGTAAACAAAAAAAAGATTATAATAAATAGTAAATCTTATTATTAAATAAGAATTACAAAAGTTATAATAAAATTGGCTTATATGAAAAATTGTTTAATAAGAAAAGTAATACGAGGTCCCTTCATTTTGCTCGTTCTCCCCATCATCAATAATAAATCTCTTATTTAATATTCTTTTGTTGTCACTTTTAAAATTGCGATGGTTATTTTGGTTTGCGAAGAATATTCTTATATCCTTTGACATGACGCAATCAATATTACTTTATCGTGAATATCTGCTTTCGAACTGATGTTATTTTTAAAGCGCCAACAGTGTAGGGTAGGCGAAAGCATGAAACTTACGTCCCTTTCCGGCAGGAAGTTTTTTTTTGTTTTTTTTGGTATGATTAAGCCAGAAAAATTTTGTAAAAGTAGAGACACTAAAAGTTTGAAATTTTTAGGGTGCAATTCAAGTGCGCCTATTGCCAGTTTTCTTTCTACTTGAAATTACAAATAAATGTTAGCTTTAGTTTGAGTTAATAAAAATTGCAAGGCAAACTGGTAATTTAGGGATTTACTTAAGAAAATAACTAGTTGTCATAGACGAGGCCTCTATTAGATCTCACTGTGTACATAGTAACAATAGCAAATAAGTTTTTCTTATTTTTCTTTTTAGTCTTCCATCTTTATCTTAAAAAGTGGCTTAACTCCTTAACAATAAAGTAAAGTGCAGAGTGAAAATTAATAAAAACTTTTTTTACAAATTAATATTTAAAAAGTTATATATTAGACCTTCATTGTAACTAAATGGCTGAGAATGTAGTTACGGAAGCCATAGTTAAAATCTAGTTATAAGCTTATCGTTTAAAGTAAAAGATGAAGACATAGTTCTAATTAAATCCTTTAAATATAAAGAAATAATTAGCACACGGACAAATATTAAATATTTAAGAAAGGAAGGCAGGTTTGAAAATAAATTACCTATCTAAGGCTTGCGCAAAGAAAATATAATTCTTTAAATAAGATACGTCCTTTCTCGCTATGTGCATTATTACTTTTATAAAAAATATTCCTTAATATTTTTCATACCGAAATTGCTGTTCGTAAAACTAATTTATGCTAATAATAAAACATAATAGTTATTATTTTGAAGTCCTTAAAACTTGATATTATTGACTTTGTAGGTTATTAAAAATAAATTCTGATTAATTTTCTTGAATTGTTGTAAAGTAGGCCAAAAAATGTTTAAAAAGAAAAGGAGCTTATTTGAAAATTGTTTTTTGTATTATACGTTCTAAAATTATTTATATCAGTCTATTGCCGGATCTTAACAAAAGCTGGTCTAATCCTATGAACTAAGAAAAAATTTAATTTAGGAAGAAATTCCTCAGAATGTTAGTCTTATAGCACTAGTTCCTTTACTAAAAGTTTTTGTTTAAGTGGCTTGGGCAAGATGAAAGAAAGCTATTAAAAAAGGACAACAGGTAGAAAATAAACTACCTGTATAAAAACAATCTTTTATTTGCAGTATTATTATCAGTATCTCTTATCTTTAAAATGTTCAATATTATAATATAATTTAAATTAAAAAAGAATCTTTAAAGATTCAAGGATAATACAACCTAATATCTTGTTTTATAAAACAAATATAGGTTAAGCCCTTCTGCAAAAATGTACACGTTAGGCTTCTGAAGTCTCTATAAAAGCTAAGAGTAGCAGTAAAGGCCAAGTAAAAAATTAATTTTTAAGTCAGTTGGCTTTTTTTACATATAAACGTATAATAACCTTAAGTCATATATTAATTTTTTTTTAAAAATTTTCTATCAAAAGGCTTTTTATTAAGGTCTATAATAATTACAAGGTTCTTTTTTATGATAAGCAATTAGTGGCATTTCGAAGCTAAACGTTTATTTCCGCTTAATAAACTAATGTACTTGATAGCCAAGGGTAGTGAGTTCAAGTTTTAGTAAGTAGCGAGGCCTTCAACGTATGTTGCTAACCTAACCCGGCTAGTATGAGAAGAATTCTCGTAATATTAATAAAAAGTACTTATTATAATAGCTATGAATAGTTTAGCTTTTAAGAACTATTTCTTGTTACAAACTTTTTTTCCTCTAGAAATTATTGTTAATATTACCTAATATAGGATAAACTTAATTAGAGGTATAATTAATGTACGGAACAGCAAAGAGCCTTAGAATATTTAAACCGTTAGTCCATATTTGCTTATACAAAAATTCTTTATTAGTTTCATTATATTAGCCATATATAAAAGTGAAAACGCAACGTCGACAGAAGATTATTTCTTCTCCCTGTTAATAATTAATAATACGAGAAAAACAAACGTTAGCAAAGGGTAAATAAGGTTGTACTTAATTATGAACTTATTCATTTAGCTGTAAAAAATTTAAATATACTTAGTAACTTAATAATTTAACTGCGAGCACCCCTTTAACACAGCCGGAATGAGACACAAACGGCTGCATTGTATAAAATTAGGCATTGAAACAAACGAACGCGAATATTGTATTAGAGTTTATGAAAGGCGAGGTTAAATACGTGACCGTCAAAGACCGAAAAAGAGAGTAGCGTCGATGGGAGTCGAACTCATGACCTTGAATACGCGCGTCCATGCCAACTTAACCGCTTGGAAAAACGATATTAAGTTATTTACGGAGGTTACGTCTTTGCGAAGGTCAAGTCAGCAACCCAAGTGTGTAACTCTCATGTGTATCAAGGATCGGTTGTAAGTACTGTGCCGCAGCTAATACCTCATACGCCTCTGATGCCTGAATCTACGGTTTCCTGTCGAGTGAGTGTGTGTACCTTTAAATAACTTAATCACGCCCAACTAGGGGGCGCCTTTTTTGGAGTTGCATCAAGTGGATAAAACAAGCCACTGCACATTTTAAAAGGCTCCGAAACGATACTTTTCATCGCCATGCCATTAACGTTATAAATGACACCCTGAGAAGAAAGTTTCTCTGCTGACAGGCAGAGCACCTTACGATCAGTTGGATGGTGCGCTATCCTGAGACTTTTGCTTTGTCTCCTAAAAAACCTGTCGGAAAGCTCGATTATTCGTTGTCGACCTCGATTAATGCATATTATTGAAACGACGGCCAAACGATTTAGCTTGTGGCCATTTTTCTACAGCAATAAAGCCGTCATACTTAGCCATGATTTACAGCCTAAACATCTTCTCTAGAAATGGAAGATGCATATACTATAAAGAATGGCAACAAAGTCATGTATCCACGATTAGGAAAGAGGAGGTATATATAAATTCACTACTATTGTAATAACAGAGATTGAAAATTAATTTGAACTTTAATTTTGGCTTGTATTGTGGCTTTTGATTCTAGCGATGTTTTTACATAAAATAACTATAGTGGAGATTTCTTCTAAATTTTGTGAAGACTTGAAGACTTAACAAAAATTTTAGGGGAAATTTAACACTTATTAATTACCAATATTTGTATTTAGTCAAAAAGTTTATAACTCTCTTTGTTTCAATATTCTATGGATAAATATATATATTTTTTTCTTATTTTACTCTCACTGACTTCAAATATAGTAGTCTAAAATTCTACAAATTATAGAAAATTAAACTTCTTTACGGCTTGTTGCACTCAATGAACTCCTTTGTTCAAAGATTATTACCTTTAGATAAGTATGTACGTTTATCGAGTTTTAAATTCTTAAGCAATTTTTTTTTGTTTCAACGACCATACTACATATAAGTACTTTAGTTTTTATTGTACTATTTTTTCAGTTCAAACTCAACTATTTGAATGTTATTCCTCTTCAACACCACTTTTCTTTTGCTAATACATTTCGACTGTAGGAAGGAAACCTTTAGAAGTTTTAAAACGGATAAATATAAGTTGCATTTTTTGCAAGTTTCCAGCGGCTATTGGTTTGCTTTGATAACCAGCCCGGAAGTAGGCGATATAAATCACATTTTAACTAAAATTTATTGTACGAGTACTTCACAATTTTTTTAATCTTTTATTCATATTATAAAATTGTAGCAGAGTTCTTTGTAGAATACGTAATACGCAATCCTTTTGTATCGATACATGAAAAAATAACTAACGAGCTTTTTTTAACAAACTTAGATTCTTACGTGAAGTCATTAGGAATTTTTAATTAATTTTTATCTTACAAAAATAAAATAGCACACAAAATTTTTTTACATTGTCATATAAAGCAACATGCTTAAATTTTATATTTTAAGTAAATTGAATTATTAAAAAAGTACATATATTTTAATTATAAGAAAAGAAAATTTACGTTATGGTGTAACAAACTTAGATTCTTCAAAATTTTTATTTAAACTAATTTCATAAAAATAAAATGACATATGTTAAATTCCTTTTTAAAATTATATTAAAAAGAAAGTGATGTTTTACTTATATTAGTAATTTTAATTCGTTAAGGTTTCTTTTATATATAATATCTGATAATAAAAAAAGTACAAATTAAATTTTATCCATTTACGTTATTTTACAAAAAAGGTAATTTACTTGAATTCTTTTATTTATAGTTTTAAAAATTATGAGTACAATTAAAAAAGAGTTTTTTTTTTTAATTCTTCCTCGAATAACGAAGCCCTTTTGTAAATGGTCTCCATCATTTCAAGATCCTTCTTTGGTATCGTAAAAAATTCTTGAACGTTTTTCTTTTCTTCGGAATTAAGTTCATTATCAGATGTGCTGTCACTAAAATCTTTAGCCTTAAAACTTTTTCTACTTTCAGTTCTCCAATTGGAATTATTTTTATTTTTAATAGATTCTGTAGTTTTAGTATCGCTACACAAGTGCCTTTTGGTACCCTCACTATTATCTAAATCCTTTGAATTAGTTTCAGTTTTTATGATTTTTGAATTATAAATAGAAGACTTTCTCCGTTTAACTGCTAAAAAGCCAAAGTTAAATAATTTAAAAGTAAAACTAACTAAAAGAGCTTTACATGTAGTGTTTTTTACTATCGAGTTAATAAAGTTATGATATTTTTGTAATTAAAAAATAACTGCTATCTCTGGTTTCAGCCTTTTCAGCTTTCTTAATTGCTTGATAAGCTTCTTCTAAGTCGGTCGTGGAGGGTAGCACCAAGCGAGCGCATGTTTCGAAGAGTACTTCTAAGTAGAGTGGTTTAAATATAGTTTTGGTACTTATGATAGTTAATTATAAACTTACTTCCGTTAAAATTTTTTGAAGATGGTTTATTAACTAATAATTCACTGTTATGCTTTATGAGAAGTTAGGAATAAAGATGTAACTTAATAGCCATATAAAACTTTAAAAAGAACTACTTGTTTAAAATTAATTTTACAATCGACTTTAGTGGAGGCGATTCCTGTTTGTGCCTTTGCTTCGCCTCTATTTTCTTTAAAGCACTGAGCAGTTTACGAAATAAGTTAGGAAAAAGAAGTAAAACCTCTTTTATGAGAGGGGTGAAATTGTCCAGGAATTGCATAAGGTTCTAAAGTCGCAAACCTTTTTTGCCTTGAAGTAGAAGGTCTGCTTAGAGAATTAGAGCAATCTCGGGAAAAGTCAGCAGGTATAAATGCAGTTGTGGAGGTGGGATAGGAGATTGAACATTAACTTTAGAATACCATCGGTCTTCGTCGTTGTACAAAGAAGAAGCATAGGGTAAAACCATGTGAGGCCTCCACAAGTAAGCAAACTCTAAGGTTGCAGCTGCAGTTTTTTTCTTATAAACCCCTATACATATATGCAGACCATTTGCTACAGGCAAACTATTAGATTTTCTACCACATCATAAAAGGATTTTCTTAAGGAGGAAGGAATTCATTTATTAAGCCATCTTTACGCACTTCTTTATCTTAATGATAACAGATTTTGTATATGCAGTTTATGATTCAGAATTACCATATATATCCAAATCTAGTGAATAACTAATCTTTTCTTTGTGGCGGCGGACTCGAACTGAAGCGCGTTGCAGTCTTTTCCTCTTAAATTTTCCACTACGCATAAAAATAAGCGTCCACATTTTGCTAATACAACAACGATCGAAATCTTTAATGTATAAATATATTCTTTTCGACTTTAGTAGTTTCTTAAGAAAAAGGCAGAAATAAACTCTTTGCGCGCGCATATTGTAAAGTCAATGCAAATGTAAATGCATTTAAGAACACACTTAAATTCCGCTTTACTTAATGATTGTAAAGTCATTTAATAAGATTAACTATAGTTTAATCCTAAATTTCTCGTGATGGACTGACGAAAGAGTTTATTTACTACGATAGTCTGAAATTATACTAGCTGGTCAATGTTATAACAAAGTAAAGGAAGCAGATGTAGCAACATACTCATTCCAAAACTTTATCGGATTGAGAGTAATTACTAAATTTAAGTATACTTTAATTGAAAAAATTAAGGGAACTGGTCTTATGAACATATAATGAAAGAGGTTGGTCAATACAGTAGACTATAAAAACGTATACCGAAATAATTTTTTAAGAGTAAATAGAGTTCCTTCATAATTTTAATTAGAATTTTTAAAAACTGTTTTACAGATAATGAAGGGAAAACCGGGGAGTACTGACTATATATATAGGTGTATATTGCCTTGCGGTCCGCTTATTGTTTATACGACTTCAAAGAAGTTCTTTTGCTTTAGCGTTAAAAAAAAATTATAATAACTTTAAGAACCTTATCGGCTTTATATTAACTGTTTTAGCAAAAAATTTTTTTAACTACTTTAATATTGCAAATAACGCGAGCAGCCTTTAAATAAATTTAATTTGCTCTGTATTTACGTTGATACTAACTCTTTTGTTTTACTTAATATTTTGGAATATTATGACTGTAGAAGCGCCTATCATAAAAATATGAAACTTTGTCTATACATTCGTAGAAGCAGGGTGTACATAAAAGTTTAAGTCTCTTAATTAGCGCCATTTTCGTCACATTTTTCGAACTTTTTAAATGTTTTATATATATGATTTTTCAAAATTTATAATATGGTATTAGTCATGAAGTTAATTTAACTATTTAGTAAAAATACTATAAATATCAATTTAAATACGAACATCTAGCGGCTTGCCAAGTAGGTGAGAGCAACAGAAGGGTGCTTACAGTGAATCGGAAAGAAAAAAGTGAGATCATCAGAAATCGAAAGCTCAGTTCATATTGCAAAATAGTTCTTGCCAGGGCAAAATATCAGAGGCATGAGTTTTTTAACTATTACTAATAAAAAAAATTTGTTTTTTCGAGTTTTCTATATACTTAAATTAAGCGGAGTTACTTTTAGCATGGTACAGTGTCAGCTTTAAATTTTTAAGTGAGTTAACCTAAATACGTATATTTAAAATCCTTTTTTTAATGTAAAAAGAGCACGATCGAAGCACTATAAATACGAAAATCAAAGGCTTTTGTTTTTTCACTAGTAAACGAGCCCAGCAATCAAAATATATTTGTTCGCTATAAATATAAATTTAAATTATTCTAATAAACAGATATTTAATATAAGTTTTATATGTAATTGAAATAAGCAAACTTTATATAAAAATTAGCACCAGAAAAAAGTCAGCGCTAAAAATTTTTATTATAGAACTTCTTTATTTATATATAAAAGGTGCCCAATCAAAGCACTATAAGTACATGCCAGCAGGCGTGCCTTCTTGCTTTCTATACAAAACATTTTCTTTCGACTTTAAAAAATCATCGTGAGTCACTTTCATGCGACGCTCACGAAGAGCAAGAAGGCCTGCTTCCGTACAAATAGCCTTTATATCCGCGCCAGAAAGATCGTCTTTCGCCATTATTAGTTCTTCTAAATTCACATTCTGGTCGACGGTCATGCGGGAAGTGTGAATATTAAATATATGACGCCTTGTCTTTTCGTCGGGCAAAGGAAACTCTATTTTCCGGTCGATCCTGCCGGGCCGAATCAAGGCTGGATCCAGAGACTCAATGCGATTAGTAGCCATAATAACTTTGACATCCCCACGAGAATCAAAGCCATCCAGCTGATTAAGTAACTCCAACATGGTCCGTTGAATCTCTCTTTCTCCGCCGGAATTGGAATCGTACCTTAAAAAAAATATAAATTAAATTAATATCTCAAATAATGCTTAAAATTAAAATCACCTCTTGGTGCCCACAGCATCAATCTCATCTATAAATACAATGGAGGGGGCGTGATCCTCAGCAACTCTAAATAATTCACGGACCTGAGTAGATTTTTTGAAAAAACCTCATGAAAAATATTTCTTCTAAAAAAGTAACGAGTATTACCAATTTGGGGCCGTCGCCTAAATACTTCTGTATAAGTTCTGATCCTACCACACGCAGAAATGTGGCGGATGTTTGATTCGCAACTGCCTTAGCCAGCAAAGTTTTACCTTTTACAATAAAACTTGAACATTAAAAATTCGTGTATAGTGACACGCACTAGAAATAAAACCAGTTCCTGGAACTCCGTAAAGAATTACGCCCTTGGGAGGCTTGATCCCCATTTCCTCGTAATATTCGGGATGGGTGAGAGGTAATTCTACTGCCTCCTATAAGTTTTTTACATCAATAACATGTCTGTAGTATATATACATATAAGCGTACTTTAATTTCTTGAATTTGGGATTCCAATCCCCCAATATCTGCATACGATTCCGTTGGAGCTTTATCGAGTTTCATTACGCTTACCATCGGATCCGTGTCGTCCTGTAAAACTCCAACGACGGAGAGGGCCTATTCTCAACACCCCGAGTATTAACGAAAAGATAGTAAAATTTTCTGCTTAAAAATTATAAAATATTTTTTTAAGAAAAATATTTAAACTTTGAGCCTCTATATCTAAACTTCTACATAAGAATTAAACTAAGTATAATAGTATTATTTAAATAAGATTAGTAAAATTTTGAGCTCTGCTTGTTAAAAGTTACACAAAAAATGGGCTAAATCTCTTTTTTAAACGTTCTGCTGCACCTTATGGTGAAGGAGAACTGAACAACCCGGCTCAAGTAAATCTTTGTCCACAAAAGACATGATTGAGACGTAATATTCAGGACCGACAGATGATGAAACAATGGCGTGATTGTCGTCAATGATCTCTTCTAAGGTACCAACGCCTAAAGGGCTTCCTCTTATTTCGTCCACCTTGAGGCGGGCTTCCTGCCAAAAAAAAAAAAAAAGCGGTATATGCCTTACAAAAAATTAAAAAAAATAGTTCAGCTAAAACCTGATTTTTTTCTTCTTGGGGTCTCAGCTGTTCTTGACTTCTTATATATTCTTGTTCAAGTAGTAAATAATCTTTTATTCTTTCCAATTTAAGCAAACGTAGTTTACAGCGAGTGTGTGGTGTAACAACGGGGAGTTTAACAGCAGACTCAAGACCCTTTTTTTTACGTTTTCCTACTCTTGTGGGAACGGGAGGCTCGTACTTTTTTTTCTCATCTTTTTTATCTTGTTTTTTTTTTAATGCCTGGCTTGTGTTTAAGCCTGATTGACCCTGACCCTATTGTAAGATTTGGAATAATTTAAAACATTTCGCAGAAAAAATTATAAATTATTATTAAAACGCAACCAAAAACTTTTACAAAGGTTACTGCAAAAAGGTTATACCATAACAATGGAAAGGGGTAGGAACCAAAGAATATAAGTTAAGCTATTCGGATTTTGACTTTAATTTTGAGGTTTTTGAAAACCCGTTATGTGCGCGTTAGGGGTGGTGCTAAATAACCATTGCGGCTAATCTTGATTACACTGATGTTTACATAGTACAAGAATAAAAGTTTTTAGGCCTTGGCGAAAGTAAGTTCATAACTTCTCTTTATTACTAAAATCAACTATTTTTTAACTTTTTTGTGCTCAAAATACCCTTAAACTAATTTACTGGATAAGAAGCCCTTGAGAAGTTTTTAATTTTTTTTTACTTTTAAGTTCTTTTTTGCTTTTTTTTTAAAAATTATTTTCTCTACTATTCAATAAAATTCTATTTTATTATAATTTGTTGAAATATGCTTTATTTAGAATATCTTTTAGGTTTTTTATATTTACATAAAATTTAAATTTTATTATTTATAAAAATAAAATTTTTATATATAACTTAAAAAAATTAAAAATATAATATTTTATATGAATTTGGTAAATGCTGATTTGCTTTTAGCGTATATTTATAGTAATTTTAAGAAAAATTTTAATTAATTATTTTCATCTCGTTATATTGTTAAAAAAAAACCCCAATCTGAATTTCGGTTGAATTCTCTAGCTTCAGCTTTACCTCTATATTAAACTTCTAAATACAGTGGAAACATATAGTTTTAAACTAAATTAAGTTGGTATTGCAATTCTACTTCTTATAGCATTTAATAATTAAATACTTGTAAAAAGTTAACCACAGAACTTGATTAAACTGCTTGTGATACAAGAAATGACTGGTTTAACAATTTTTATAAGTGCAACTCTTATTAAAATCTGTTTATAAACTTTGCTTAGACTTCACTTTTCCGCCATAACTACGGGATTCGTTGAACATTTATAAAGTTGTAATAGCATTGGATTTATTACCTTTTAAGTTCTTTTAGTTATTCCAGTTTCATCTCCCTTGGAGAATTTCGTAGGCAGTTTTAATAATGAATTAAGTTAAAAGTATTTGCTCCTTAGCAATTAACTTATTTTTAGTATTTTGGGTAGACGTAGAACCTATATATTAATGCAGCTTAACATGAAAAAGGTAAATAATAGGAATGGGAGTGATAACAGCAAATTAAAGAAACAGTAATGCGTACATAAAAAAAATTTGCGTTATATTACTATTGCAATATTAAACCGTCAACCTACCTCTTAGTTTATTATATTTGTAAATAATATATTAATTAATTAGCTTGAGTCCCCAAATGCCAATAATAAAACTTAATATTATTTGAGGTTACCACACTTTAATTTTAAATATACTTAATGTTTCCTCACAGTTATCCTATGCTACAAAGAGTTGGGAAATTTATATTCTAGTGTAATGGCTACTAACTAGTTTTAATGCTTAAAAATCAACAGTTAGTCTAAAAAAATGCTTATATAGTTTTCAATAAAGAAAAACCTCTATTCACGGATATGTTCAAATATATAAGATGATAGCGAAAACTTAATACGAACTAAGCACTACAATTAATTTATAAGCAAAGGCAAGCAAAATGCCTTTCGGTGAACGCATATAAAAGTTGAAAGATTAAAGGATTACCCAGCTGAATGCTTAAATTGAGCGCGGCCCCCAATCCATTGCTTATCGAGGTATCCCTTCATTCGCTGGTGCGTTTGTAATTCTCTTTTAATTTTTCGTATTTGAACGTTCTGCTTGATGCGGTCAGAAGGTTACTGCTAATAACTTGTCGGTAAAGTTCGCCTTACGTCTAATAAAGGTATTAGCAGTTATTGTATATATTAATTTTCTTATTTTTTTTAACTTCTGTAGTAATTAAATTATAGTTAACTATCCATGTCCGCTCGCGACCTAGATAAATGTCCATATTATGCTCCTTTTTTCGGTGTATTAGGAGCCACATCAGCTATGGTTTTCACGGGTGATATACCTTTTTTTTTTTAAGAAATTTATTTTTTAATTTTTTTTTAATTTAGCCTTTGGAGCTGCCTACGGTACCGCAAAAAGTGGCACAGGAATTTCTGCTATATCTGTGATGAAGCCAGATTTAATAATGAAGTCGATTATACCTGTAGTGATGGCCGGTATTATTGCCATTTACGGGTTAGTCGTGGCAGTAATTATTAGCAGCAACATGAAAGGAGACAGCTATACTTTATATAAGTAAGTCCCTTTCGAGGTTAAGTACGTTTTAGGAAACTCCAAGTTTATCATTTTTGTCTGATTACTAAGCGATAAGTTTTTTTTTAATATAGAAGGCAGTAAACTTTTGATAATCATATTCACTGACTTTTTTATTTTTAAAGATCTTTTAGAGATTTAGGCGCTGGTGTGGCTGTCGGCTTGTCCGGTTTAGCTGCCGGTTTTGCAATTGGTTTAATTCTTCTTAATTATGATCCTTTTAATATTTTTTAAAAATTTAGAATTTTCTAGGCGTGGTTGGTGATAGTGGTGTTAGAGGGAACGCACAGCAGCCTCGATTGTTTGTAGGCATGATTTTAATCTTGATCTTTGCAGAAGTTCTGGGTCTATACGGGATGATCGTCGCTCTTATATTATATACATCCCCCACAGAATCTTGTTTAAAATAAATCTCTCCAAATCTCATAAGAAACTCTGCTAAAACATGTAAAGAACTAATACAATTATGATTATGAAATTCAGATCCTGTTTATGCTTTTTTTCTGTAACTATTTTTGGTGTTCATAACTTTTACTTTTTTCATTTAATGCGTATACGATACCTACTTACTTGGAGATGAGTTTTGTTCTTGTAAAAACCTCCACCTTACCAACTTTTGAAAGCGTTTGAGGCTCACGAGTTTAGGTTTTTTTTTAGTGGGCAAAGACGCTGTTTTAATTTCTTTTTTTATAAGGCTTAAAGCTAATTGTGAATCACTTTTTAGTTTTTATCGCCGGGAGTTTCTATTAATTACTTATTTTAAAAAATACATAAAAAACAATTTAAGTATTGTAACTTTCCCTAAGTCTACATCAATTAGAGAATAAAAAAATCTACACTATATCTGCACAGCGCCCTTCGCTCGTCTTGACAACAAGCTTCCGTGAAAAAATAGTATAGTAGCATTGATTTGAAATGCTAAATAGAAAGTTAAAAAAAGGTTTGGGGACGTCGCCCAAGAAAATGTTAGCTATCAACTAAACCCTTTTTCTATTGCTCACTGGAGACAGATCAAATTTTGAATTTTTTAATCGTTAGTTTGCAGGCATAAAATAAGTTGTAGCCTAAATGTTAGTTTGAATTATTTTTAGATTATTTCTAGTTTTTAAAATAATTTTTCTTTTCTTCTGTTATAACTTAAAAGTAATTTTGCAGCAAACTGATCTCAAACGGCTTTACATTTTATAACTAAGTACTTCGCGTTTTAAGACTTTTACTAGCGGCTTTATACGTACGCATAATTTCGCACACATATGTTTATTGCACTTGGGACGAGGATACTGTAACCGGAGAATTTTAGGTCCCTGTTACAAATTTGGTCTTAATGCACAATACATAAAGCTTTCTTTTTTTATTGCAACCCTGCTCTACTACATAGTAAAGATAGTAGACCACGGAGTTAATATTCGTATTATCGTGTATACGGCCACACGCTGGTGTGAATTGGCGTTAGGCCAGCTTGTAGTGTGCGAATAGCAAAGAAGGAACCTTTCGGACTCCCACTTACAGCTATCTGACTGTGTTACGCAAACGCGGAATGATCGAAACTTGGAGCTTGCTATGCATACTGAAAAAAACAAAAAATCAAAGACAGCGCCCGTAACTTATAAAAGTTTATGGGGCTCCAGCTAACCATTTGGCTAGGCGAAGAGGCCTACAGAGCCTATGATGTATTAAGCGTAAAAGGAGTGCGGTAATATGATAACATTACCACAGTTGCCGTTTTTCATCGTACTGAAAATATACCAAGTGCTTACTTTTGCCATAGGAGACCAGCCGAGAAGGAAAGGGGCTTAGGCTGTAACATATCATAGTTATAAATAATATATAATTATAAAAAAGAGTAAATAAAATAATTTTTTCTGGGGAGTCTGCCGTTATTTATGTAGTACATCTTTTTGTCTACAGATCGAGCGGTTTACTTATATTAGCCAAAAAAAAAAATAGTAAGCTCAGCACGTAGGGCTCCAACGCCAGCAAGAGAGAAGTTCACTTTGTCTTCAATACTCGCGTCTACGATCTCTTCGCTGCGCAGGTACGGTCGTGGAATCTACCTAACGTACAAAACCCAATTCCGTTCTGCACTTGATCTCACTTTTACTTAACCTTTAATAACTTGCTCTTATCACGAGATGTACTAGAATGTTTATTAGCTGGCTCTTTTTGTTTTAAGTCGATTAAGATTTGAAGTAAGAATTTTAAATGTGGCCAATGATAGATGTTTATGGCCTATTGGTAGCCAAAAATAAATTGTCTAGGTTCTGTAATCTTGGTTTTTAAAGGCGAGCTAATACATAAATTATTACGCAAATTATGTTATGTTAAGAAAAATAAAAAAAATAGAAAGCCTTAAACGAGAATAAATTTTTCTTTTTTACGTGGAACACGTTAAACAAATTATTGAAGAAAGTTTCTGTAAATTTTAATAGTTGGAATGACATTACGTGTTATTGACTACACAAGTTTCTCTTAGTTATTTTTTAAGCTCCAATTTTACTATTGCTTCCTTTTAATTAGTGAATCCTCGACAGTTAATAGAAAACGAACAGTACAAGAACAACTGCTCTTTACAACACCGGCATTCTCCTACGAATGTTTTGCTCTTCGCTTTACAAACAGTAACACTAAGCACTAACACGCAAATAGCAAACAGGCCCCTAAAAACCAATACTTTAAAGTGTTGCTTGCCTACGGTTGTTTCTTTATTCCTTTTATTATTTTTAACGTTTAACAACAGGCAAAGTCTTTTTTCCCATTACTTCAAACAATTGCTTTTCTCATTTAACCACTTTGCTCAAGTTATATGACATTGTGCTAAAAACTAAATAAGTTTGCTCTTTATATTATTCAAAATTATTAAAAAGGCAAAAAGCAGCTTATGTACTTAAAAGGCATTTAGGCTTAGAACCCTCCGGTCAAATTTAAAGCTACAAAAATAAAAAAAATAACGGACAAGTAGAAAACATCAAAAAAGATTATTGATTTACACAAAACAAATGCGGTTTAGCAAATACTAAACTAAATTTTATGCTTATTCAATTTTTAACGCATCCAGGGATAAACTAAATACTGACTGCATGGCGGTACAAAGGCCCTCGCAAAGATATATTACCCACGTTATCAAGTCACGTGAGTATACATCTTTACGTTAGACAATATTTTAGAAGCGACCCGTCTTAACCTTGTTGCGAGCTTGACTTACGGGAAGGTAACCTGTTTATTTTTACTGGGGTTTTAGGTAATAGCTATATTTCGTTTAATAAAGAGATTTTACCTATGACTTTGAAATCTGCTAAGGAAAAGGCACTTGCAGCCAAAAATGCATCTACTAAAGGCGTCTATTCACGTTCAGTACGGAAAATTCGAACATCTACAACATTTCACCGCCCGAAAACTCTTCGTCTTCCTCGCAATCCTAAGTATCCTAGTAAGTGATAAAAAAAATATATTTTTTCCACATACCTCTTTTGTTATTTATTATTAAACAGGAAAATCAATGCCAAAAAGAAATAAAATGGATAAGTTTACTATCGTAAAACACCCCCACACTTCGGAAGAGTCTTTAAAGAAAATTGAATTACACAACACGTTAGTTTTTATTTGTGATGTCCGAGCGAATAAGCATCAAATTCGGCAAGCTGTTCGAGAACTTTATGAGGTTGAAAGTTCCAGAGTCAATACTTTAGTAAGACCTGATGGGCAAAAAAAAGCTTTTGTTCGGCTTAAGGAAAATTATGATGCCCTTGAAATTGCCAATAAGGTTTATACAAGCTTTATATATTCTTTTTAAGTAATATTTATTATTTATTTTTTTTAGATTGGAATTATTTAGTTTTATAGTTGACATACTTTGTTAAAAAAAATAAAGTTTTACTGCATTCTACTTTGGTTTTTACTATGAAATTATAGAAAATTCATACTTCACGGACACCAGTCGGCGTGTGCATTCCTCATATATAAAACAATTTTTAAATACTTGATTTTTACTTTTAAATTGCTACGCAACGCGCCACCTCTATTTTTTTATGCCTTAAAAACTACTTCCAATAATAGTTTTTGACTCAAATTTCGTTTGTAAGTAGTAAAAGTCTACCCTTAAAACTATACACGACATTGCAAGAAGAGAAGAGTTGTTTGCTGCTGAGCATTTAATTTTTTTTTAAGAGTTTAAGAGCTTTTTAACACAATACGTTCATATACTGAGAAAATGTAATTTTTTAAACTAAAGTGTATACGAGTAGCACGTAGATGTGAATATCTGATGCATCAGTATTACATGTTTTTTAAGTAATAATAGTCTTCTCTTTTTTTAAGGTCTTTATTAAAATTTTTAAGTCAGGGCGCTGAGTACAAAATTTTGATATTGAAAGAATTTGTTTATTTCATTTTTAAAATAATATTTTTAAATCTTAAAAAATATTAAAAATAAATTTAATCTTTATTTTTGGTCTATAAGTTAAAAGGATAGACTTAATTTTATTGATTCAGAAAACTTGCTGCCTGCTTGCAACTCGTTATTTAATATGCTATCTTAGATGAACATTATATTTTTGCTTTATCTATTTTACTTACAACTTTTTGAAATTTTTTAAATTTTTATGCTTTTATACTTTATTAACTTCTTTTTATTATCCCTTACCCTTTTTAATTTGCCTTTTCTTATTATTATAAGAACTTATTTCAAATAGCTTTAAAAAAAAAGAATTTTTTATTTACATTTATCCCTTTTTTGTCAACGTTACTATGAAACGGTGCGATGGCAATATATAAAATGTTTATATAAAGGTCTTCTATCAAATAAAATAAGTCTCAGGAAAAATTTTAAAACGTTATAAAATATTACTAGAAGTCTCTTAACTAACAGGAAATTTCTTATAAATTGAACTACTTTGCCTTATATGAAGTCAGAAGAAAAGTGGAGCGGTTATAAGTCTTAATTGAAAAAAGTGAGGATTAACTTAAGTTTGGCAGTTTTTTTTCTTTTAATTAAAAAAATTTTTACGTCCTGTAGAACGCCCGAAGACTTTTAAACGTTAGTTATTGAAGTCGCCTTAAATATATTTTTTAAAAAGCGCTTATTTAATTTTGAGTAAAATAATACACTTAAACGTGAGCTAAGAAATCACCATTATGTAGATAGCAATCTGTTTACCCTGCAATTAAAAAAAAAAGTTATTTTTTTAATGTTACGTAAGCCTCATTTACTGACTTAGTGTTAACTTTTTAAGCGATTTAGTGAGCAGAGAGCCTTTAGCTATTTTTTAAAACTGACATATTAGTTATTGAAGAGGTATATATAATAATTTAAGGTTGTGCTACTTAAGTTATTTTAAATTATTAGAAGTTTTCTTTTAATTATCTTTGTTGTTAAAAACAACTATTACGCAGGAGCTACAATTTATAATACTTAGCCCCATTTTTTTTAAACTTTTTACCTTAAACACTTTAAATTTTATAAAGTTATAGTTGCTAGATTTTAATTTAACTAAGTTATTGGTAAAAAAGGTTTAGACGTAAACAAAGATATTTGCTTTTTAACAGATACTGGTCTATAAATGATTAAAAGAAATTGTTAACGGTGTTAACACAAAATTTTTACCTCAAGGCAAGTTTTTACTCAATCTTTTATAACACTTTAAACATGTTAAAAAACTATATTGGGTTCCTTTATTGGCAGCTACCTAGTATAAATCTTACGTATGAAAAAATTTTCGTTCAAGGTTTTCATATTGCAGAATAAATACTTAAGCCCTTACCAATGACAGAAAGGGTAGCAGATCTAGAACCCGAAAAAAAAAAAATTTAAGGTGAAGTTAAAAATAATAGAAGGGAGCCCATAATACCAAGGAACAGGGAATCTTTTTAAAAACCTCATAAACCTGTGCCTTATAAAAGGAATCTTAATATTTAGAAAATGTATAGCAAATTTATAACCCAAAAAAAATTAATGTAAACTTGATGTGTGCTTAAAAAAAATCAGGAAGTTTACTGCACTGTGTAGAAAGGAAACACGACCAAATTACTTCGATTACTTTATTAGAAGGTTGTAGTAGTACTCGTAAAAGCCAAAACCCCTCTCCCCTGAAGGGGAGAATAGAAAAAAACCAACAGTAAATTTTCCGCTTTTTCAGCCGCAGCCGCCCTCCCTGCAGGGGTCGAACCTGCGACCTTGGCGTTACTAGTATCACTACCTGACCAACTGGGCTGAGCAGAGGGTAGCTGTAGGCTGGTTATAGTAAAAAATTTAAAAAACCTTATTAATTTTTATAACTGTCATCTAAAATATATAGCTAAGTTATGAGTGAATTAGTCAAAGGAGTATGGCGTTAACTTTGTCGACTCTACTTATTGTTTTTCTTTTATTTATTAATTCCGTTGCCATACTGAATGAAGATCGTCTTTTGAAAAGATGTTTATAAGTTTATTTTAGTATTTATTTTTTTTTATTTTAACTTTTTTTTTTATATTTGCATATAATTTTTAGATGGCTGGGCTTTCGAACATAACCAAGCCATTACTTTTGGGGATGAAAATCAATTTAAAAAGAAAGTTATAAACTTGATATATGCCATTCAAAAGCTTACTAGAAGTTCTCATTTATTTTAAATTGTTTTTTGTATTTTCTTTCACCTACTTATGGCATTTAATCGTTTTATCCTTATACAACTAGTGCCGTTAATAGTTTTAAATTCGGTGGTGATTTTGTTAAAACTGATTTTAGGCTAACTGTTGAGCAGGTATCAAATCAAATTTGCCTAATTAAGATCGTAATATTCTACTTTAAATTTATTTAGAAATCCGTGAAAAATATACCATAAATTTCAGTAACATTATCTAAAATTTTTATTTTTGCTAATTTCTAATAAAAAAATGTATATTTCATAAGTTACACTTTTTTAATGTACTTTTCAAGAAGCAGAAATTAGATTTTAAGTTTTAATAGATTTGTGCAGATCCTCAAAAATAATTTGCTCGGTATAAGTTATTAAAAAGTTTGTGATTTTTTATATGGCCAGCTTTCTTTTAAAAATTCAATTTGCAAGTGCATCTTATAATGTAAAATTTGCAAGACATTTTTATAAATATTCGGCTATTTAACAAAATATAGTTAATGCTTTTGTTTTCGTTGTATAATTTTTCTAGGCTTCCAACTAATTTAGTTCATGCATACTAAAATTTTTTTGCAAATTTCAAATTATCTTGTTAAACTTTAGTGTTTAAAGAAAAGTTAAAAAGACCCTTGTAGTAGGATTAAAAAAAGTTTAAGAGGTTTGATATTTAGCTCTTAAGTGTAAGAGTTATAACGGTGAAGAAACGTTCGTAGTGCTAATCTTACGAGAAGCCTGTTACTATTTTTAATAAGGTAAATGAAGATCAAGAGCCTATACACCAATATAACAGTGCATCTAGCAGGAAAAGATTCTTTCAGCGCCAAAAACAAAACCGTAGGAAATGGAGTACTAGCTTCTTGCGTCATATACATATTTTTTAAAGGTTATCTGCCAATTTTAGCAAAGGAAAACAACTCTTGAACCTCCTTTTAGCACTATAAAACTCTTGTACAGGAAAAGAAGTACTACATTTTTTGCGCCTTAAGTATATTTTTAAAAAGATTTTATGCCTTTTTTTAGTAAGGAAAGGCTCATTTCAGTACTAAAAAACAATGTAAGAGAAAGGAATACTAGTCTTATTCTTGCGCCATAAATATTTTAAAAATTATTTTTAAGGCAGCAGGGAAAGAGAGTGCGCTGAGCGCCATTCTTTTGTCATTGCGACATCCCCCTTTTCAGAGACATGGCGTTCCTATTTAAACACAATTAATAAAATATAGAAAAAAAAAAGAGATGTATGATAGAGTGGTTTTACCAAGTATGTGCATTGCATAACTCTCTATGATGTATTTGCTGAGGTGCCAAATTTTCTGAATTCAAAATTTAAACAAACGCATATAATCCTTCCTTTTTTAAACCTCGTTAGGATCTCTATTTGTACTATTGATACGTAGACCATTTTAAGTACTGTGGTTAGTATATAAATAGGTTTTAGGCGTAGAAGTATATTTTACAAAAAATTAATGGTTTACAACTATTTCTTCAAAGCTTAGTAGGGTTATTAGCCTAAAATATTATAGGCCTTTATTTTTATTTGCTCATTGCAGTCCACTGTATTTGGCCGACTAATCTGTTCATTTTTAATTCCGGTAAGGATTAGATGTTTGAACTTTTTATAACCCTCTAATATAGCGCTTGCTCATCAGACAGATATTGCGCAACTAATACTCTTTAACTTAAAGTACAATTAATTAAAAAAAACCGATCCTTTAAATTTAAAGATCATAAGCATTTTTTATTTAGTGCTTTGGTTGAGATTCCTTTTTTATTTGTTATAAAGCACCCTAATTGACTACTTTTATATTGTAATAGACGAAAGAGCTAGGTACTAAATTAATTTTTGTTTTTTTAAGTATATTCTAAACGGTAGGATAGACTAAGAAGCTAGATGTTAGGCTTCAGTCATTCGTATAAAACTTCAATCTGTTAAAACTGCAAGAAAACTTTAACGTAACTTTATGTGTGAAATAGTTTTACTACAGTTATTAGCTTTTTTTGTAAAGAGGTTGATCTGGTCAATTAGATTTGAGCTTTTTAGTTTAGTACGGGGGATATAATATTTTTTTTTTAAATTGAGACGAAGTTGTAAAGTCCTTTATAGTAAACTAAATGCCTTTAAAACTTAACAGCACTACGCCGTAGAAACCAGAAGCATTTTAAAGTTTTCAATGAAGAAATAAAAGGAAACGCAGCTAAAAAATTTTGAAAAACTGTTTGAAGATGTACATAGCAATAAACCGTAATACACTTAATTTTTTTTAACTTTAAATTACATATTCGGGTGTTATAGTTACTAAATTTATAATAGGTTTTTTTGTAAGATTTTTACTTTTAAAAAAAAATTCAAATATTTTTGAAAGGATCCCGACGCCTCTTTCCCGCTAAATATTAAAATAGTAGGTGGCACCTACATTAAGAAGTTGAAAGGAGGTTATATAGTAAATACGTGCTATTTATTGTTTTTAGTCAAAAAATACATGAAGCAAATAAACAACTTTTACTTAAGGCAAGGATATTTTATTATAATAAGAACAATATTATAATATTTTTTAACCTTTTTAATAACATCAATTTCCTTAAAATTGTAATTGTTTCTCAAAAAAAGAAACTCTTTAATATGAACAACTTAAAATAAAGTTTTTTAAAACGATGGGTATATAATGAAAAAACGACTTAGCCTGGGATTTAAAGACAGTTCAACTAATTAATTTAGTTAATAAAAATATAATGCTGAATTAACTTTACCAATTTACTTTAAGGAAAAAATGGCATATTAACCTTAATTTTTTAACATTAGTAAAGATAAACGTTTACAAATATTCCTAAAGTAAAAATTATCAATGGGAACCAAAATTCAATTAATTATATAACCTTATTGGTCTTAAATTATCTTAATATTAAGAAAGTAGTTATTTTACTGTAAAGATGCAAACCTTATTAATTATAAATTATCTTAAATATTAAGGAAAAAATTAATAATTTACTGTAATGACGCAATAAATTTAACCTTATATATTTATTAATATAATCTGCGGTTAACTTGAACGCTGGCATTTTTTGACATTAACAAAAAACGCTTAGGGAATTAATCATAGTAACAAATTTTTTACTTGAAATATAATTCTTTACCAATAAACTTTGACGAATAGGTAAATATATTCAGGGATCTTAGTCGTTTAAAAATTGCTAGTAAAAGTTTATTTTAGAAGATTAGTAATGCCTGATTTTAAACTATAAATATTAGAGATTGGAGGCCTTTACAGATGCCTACGCAACACGTTATAACCAAATTAATACATTTCAAATATTTTATTTTGTTGTTAGCAACTTAGATTTCGTTAAATAAAAAGTTTTTACTAAAAACTGGCTGTTCTCATCCTTACCTTTCAACGGGCAGAATTCTAAAAGTGTTCAGGATATAAATCTGGGCTTCCTCAATTTATTTTATTAAGCCATGGCAAAAATAATTATCCTTCGGGATCTAGCATCGTTGTTAGTCTAAAAGCTAAACAATTTATTTTCCTTGTTACATTACTGGCAGCTATTTAAAAATTCAAAAGTGAATAAAATGAATCTTAACATACCTCGTATCAATCTTACCCGATTTATGATGAGGTAATTCTTTTTTATTAACGTTGAACTTTTAATGTATAAAATTTAACTGTTAGTTTAAAAACAATATATCGCAAACGATATTTTTATAATACAATGACACAAGAAAATGTTGAAAAAACCTTGAACGTGTACGCCAGTTATCATCTCCAATCTATATCTTTGCAGCAGATCATAGATTTCGGTTTTCAAATTTTTAATAATCTTTTTTGAAATGCATAGAAAATCAAATTTTAAATCAGGAAAAAACTTGGATTTTGAAAAAGCTGTGAAATCAACAACCTTTCTGAAGACCGAAGTTTGCGTTCGTATAGCCCATATAGTAAAAGAGTTGGAACATCTTCCCAAGATTTTGCTTCGCATGAATTCTGTACAACTTGTAAGAAAATGGTAAGAAATTATTAATATATTTCTATATTACTAACATCAATAATGTCTTACACAGTTTGGAATCGAAAATAAAAATTTTTGTTGTATTAATATTACTTATAGCATAGCTTTAACTCATATAATTATAGAATAATTGGTGCTTATACATCCTTATTTCGTCTATTGTAACAAGTTCTAATACTTAATCGCTTTTCACCTCATATGAAAATGAATATTACCTGGCTGTATGTATTGCACAGTTTTGATATCTATAACAGTTTTTCAATTAAATAAATTAGGTATCTCGTTTCTTTTACTGACTTGATCAAATTTCCTACTTTAAATACTTCTCAGGTAAAATGTCTTAACTATTATAATTTACTAATTACTTCATTAAAAGTGACCACAAACTGTAAACATGTATTATTTCTTGTTAACCCCACGTTTTGTAATAAAGTTTGTTTTTTCATGAAGCAATTTCTGTAATCGCTAATCATATATAAACAAACCTATTTACTTCATAAGATAGAACTACCTCGGTATTAAGTTATAACGTTTATTATTTTTAAATATGATAATATACTTTTAGTTTAACTTTAAAAAATTACGACTTTGCATGCGGTGCCTAAAATAACAAATGCATATAACTATTAGTAAAAACCAAAGATTTATTTTTTTACATAAATTTTTATTTGACCCGCTTTTAGAAGTAAAAATATATTCTCTTTCTAAAAGGTAAATTATTTATCCTACCAGGGTGCGTTAAGATCCCCGTAGTTTGGCTGCGTTTTATTAAAGTAGTAAATAATGTCTTTTTAAGTTTTCACACTTTATTAATTGAAAGTTTTGGTTGTTTTACAAATAGCCAAAAAAAGAAATTAGTTGCTCTAATAACCAGAAATTTATAAAATATTTATTATAAAAGTTCTTAGGAAATAGATTTTCTAATTAAAAAATAAGCAGTCATCTCGTGCCGATGCAATGTTTTTGAGGTATAAGTTTCTTCTGGATTGCGTCCATACCTATTTAAAAAATTGTTAAATATGATGGAGAACGGAACACTAAATTGTAATAATGTTGTAAAATCCTTTTATATACAAAAAAGTTTTAAAAAGTAATAAAGATCGTCCTTTCTGGCAAGAGCTTTGTAAAGTTTATATTTTCAAAGAAGTTCGGTGCTCTTTCAGTAAAAAAGTTTTAAAGGATATGCCAAATGCGAAAAAGGTTAAGCAAGCCGTTTTCAATGTGTTAATTCCAGCTCCCTTTTCGCGTAGTCTTAGAGTTAACTGTAGCTCTTATTTACAAGAAATGTTATATAAGAGAAAGAAAAATTGGTTTATAGTAGTGATTTTCACTCGCAATAAGGTAAACAGCTTTAGGCAAGCGGAGTACACATAAAACTAACTAAAAGCGACGGCTCACAAAGTATAAATAACCCTATTACGCTCTTGTAAGGTTAACCAGATATTTTAATTGGCACATGCCTTATAATACGTATAACCAACTTAAACAGGAGAGAACATAGGTAGTGACAAAACTTAAATGACGTAAATGGGGAAAAAAAACTTTAGTAAGTTCGTTTTTGTGAAAAGGAGTCCAAGTACACAGGCAAACTTAAAAGAAAAGGGCCACTAGTTTAAAAGCATCCAACACAGTCCAAAACTACTTTCCTAGGTTAGTTAATTTCGTTAGAAATATTAAAAGTCATTTGTTTATATATATATATATATATAAATTTCTTTAATTCTTATTATTTATTCGGTAATGAAATATTGTTTGAAGTTTTTTACTGAATTAATATTAATATTTTTTTTATAGTCTTAAATTTTGGTTAGAAAAAAATGTTAGTAATTTTTTTATATTATATTTACTAAACTTTTTTGACTTACCATTGTAATATTATGTTGGTAATATGTTGGTAGAAACTTAAAACTTTAAGAACTACATTTCTTTCTAAATGTAACTCTTTAATCTATTACAAAAATACCATTTATTTGTAATTTAAATTGTATAATTGCTCTTAGTAAAACTCTGTATATATTACATATTAACAGTTAAACTATAATTATCACTTTTTTAGAGCAAAGAAGAGATAACAACTTACATGAACGACTTCTGTAAACTTTTTGAAAAACTGGTCGATCGTCATGCTCCTATGGCAGTAACAATGGCTCAAGGGATAATGGATTTGCACAAAAAAGTTTATTTTTTATATATGAACATTCTTTTTATCTTGCGTTATTATAGAATTTTTCTATTTATATAATGGGTTATATTTTATATTTTATCATTAGTTTATTAATAATTATTGTTAAAGGTTATTTACATAATACTACGAGGTAAGTAGGTATTTTTTTTTAACTTTTATAATATATTTTACTTACTACTATATTAAATCGTTTTCTCAGTGTTTAAATTTTATAAAGTTTATTGGTATCATATACTTATGATTTTGCAAATAATACAGTTTTTACTTTTTTAGTAATATTTAATAAGTAAATTTTTATTAAATGTTTTTATTATATTTACAATATAAGCTTTACAAGTTTACTATTCATAATAACCATAGCGTACCAAAGTAGCCTATCATCATAAGTATAATAATAAATTTTATAAGTTCCCCAAACTAAATAGTTTCTTATATTTTATTTCTTTATCAAATATTTATTAAACTTTTTATTTATTTAGAGTAAAACTGTTATTCTTTTTTTTAATATTTAACTATTTTTATATTTAGCTATATCAAATGTTAAAAAAGTCCCAATAAAACTTGTTAATAGTATCCAGAGAAATCCTTGGAGTTGCCAATTTTATATTTTTTGGACCGATTTTACACATCTAGGATCAGTATACGCTTTCTTGTTAGGCACCACATAGAAGTATACAAGTCGTTTTCAGAGAAAAGGTAACAACAAAAACTTTTAGTATTACAAGTAATGATATTCATAGGTGTTGAATAATAATATGTCCATAGTTAATTAAAATTCTTGAAAACGAAAAATTTGAATTACTATTATTAATAAGTATTTTTATATAATAATAAAAAGTTCATTGTTAAATAAAATCCTATATAACGTTAAATATGTAAAAATACCATTATTATTCATAATTATAATAAAATAAAAATCTTTTCAGTTAATATTATAAGCAATAAGTTCATAAGAAAACTTAAAAATTTTTTGTTGAGGCATAATAATAATTGTAAAAAAGTTTAAATAAGGCGGCGAATTTCTATGACTTTGGGAAGGCCATGGTGGTCGCTTTTGAAGAGTCTCTCTTTATACCACCTTATCTCTTTCTAAAAAAAAAATGAGTTTATCTTGAAAACAATTCTAATAAAAGCAAACTTATTTTTACTTGGGATTGCTGAATATTGCAGTATTGAATAAGTGAGTAGAAATTTGATCTAAATTTTATTAGTTTTGAGGATTAAAGAAATTGATTAACAGGATACTTAGAGACCGGGCCAATTCTTTATTTCTCTGTAATTTTCATGATTTTGATAATTTTTAAGTAATAAATTTTCAGCATAGTAAGGCCGTGTAGAGGAATGGAATTATGTGTATAGCTTTTTAGGTAACGATAGATTTTTGTATATAAATTTATAACTTACTATTAATATATAATTTATAAATTAAAAGTTGTTTTAAAATCGGTTACTTAATTACAAAAAGAGTAAGCATTTTAAAAATTTTACTATAAGAGAAAAAGAGCAAAATAAATTTACAAATTATTTTTTGGAGCATTACTACTTATTTAAAAAAATACTATTACTGCCACCACTTTACTATAATCTAATTAGATTTGAAATCTAATTCTACTTGTTAGCTAAGTATACAATTCAGGCTTTAGTGAATAATAAATTTCTTAAATGCCTTTTTTTTTAAAAATAATATTGATCCTTTTGCCTCTCAACTTATTGGTCCTCAATTATTTGACAAACTGACCTACTTTGTAAATACCGACTCTTTATAACTGGCTCACTAACTTAACGTAAAAATTATTGTATAGAAGTTATTTTTATTCTATTATTATTTTTTTTAATTAAATATATGTATAATCACCTTAAAAATGTAAAAGGGTCACCATAAATTATTAACTTATAAGTATAATTAAACCAGTTTTTATTATAAACTTCCTATATTACTAAGAAAACAACTTTAACTAAAAAGCTTATTCACTGTGGAGCAATATATGTATATATTATGTGTATAGTAACCGTTTATTTTTATTTTTTAAACTGCTTTACTCAATATTAGAGTTATTGATATAACAAATTAAGGTATCAAAAAATGAATTAACAGATTATTTATAAAAATGATAAACTCTTTAAACGATAAGCTTTTTATTTTTTAATTTATTTTTATAAGAAAAGATCCCAAAAGAAGAGCCACTTTAGTGGGGCTGGTGGATACCGACTGTATTGTTAAAGAAATACTTGAAGACGCTTATCGTGACGCTTCCGTACTGTTTTTTTACAATGAAATTATAAAAAAGTTTTTCATGTGCAAGTTTTATGAGTAAAAAGTTTTACTTTAGCACTAAAAGTTCTTAAATTTTTAAAATTTACAAAGAATTTTAAATTTTATTGCACTTTATTGTCTATAATAAGAAAAGTTTATAAGTAAAAAAGTTTACTATAAATCCATAAATCTATAAAGTTTATGTAAATTGTAAGTAAATTTAAAATTCCCTAGCTATTTATTTATAATTATTGTCCAAATTGCAAAAGTTTGTTTGTGTATGCCAATATAAACAAATTAAATTTTCTAACTTGTAAATTTTTATACAAGTCAGTTGAATTTAATAAAAAAATATGTAATATATAAGAAAAGATATATAATACTTTATACGTAAGCTTTTGGTCCCGAAGAATTAATGAGATTTTTACTTCAAAATTTAAAATTTACTTAAAAACAGTTTCTTAGCCAGCAACACTACACGCAGTCCCCTGAATTAAAGATTGTCTGCCCTCAGGATATCAGGAACTTTACTTATATTCCTTTACATCTTTACTACATTTTCTTCGAACTACTAAAGGTTTAAACTTGAATTTACATATAAAACTTAATTAGTTTATATGATAATCTTGGTTATTAATTTAATTATTTTATAATTAATTATATTAATATTGGTTTCTTTTCAATTATCTTCGCTCTAAGTACGTCTAAAACGTTAGAATATTATTAACCGGACTTAATTTAATTTATTTTAAAAGGAATTTATGGAAAATTATAATATATATATTTACGGCTTTAAAAAATATACAAAGAAAAATAGAATTATTATTAAAAGACGAAAAAAAACTAATTATAACATAGTAAAATAGAAAGCTAATTCGGAAAGTTATTATTTAAGTTTAGCTCGACTAACTAATCTATTGACTCTCCTGCCGGACATTAATAACGACTAACGGTAAACTTTTCGTTTCTTAATTTTCTAACAGTGCGATAATAATAGTTAACGAGAAGCTGGTAGATGAAGTATAAACTCTGATACAACTAATAAAAAACTTTAAGAATTAACTGAATTTACAAAATAAATATGAAGTTGCAACGGTGACACTGGCGAGATTCGCTGTAGAAAATTAAACTTAAACTAAAACAAGAGAATATATAAAATTAGACTAAACTAAAGTTAAAGAGTTGTCGGTGAAGGACTCTAACTAACCTTAAACATTAACTGAAATAAGCAATGATTATAAAACCAGTTAGACTAACTACTAACAAAATTTTAACCTTTGTGGCGAGCAACGAAGGTTTAAGCGATTCGTAAGGTTTAGATTTATAGGAAAAAATAAATAATTTCAAATTATTTATAAATTATGAATTATAAAATAAAATATAAAATTTTTATATATTAATAATAAATAATAAGTAAAATAGAAATTTTTTTTTAATTTAACAAACTTCTCATTCCATATAAAATTTAACAGTAAACCACAAACTCCCCAAATACTGCACACCCCCCTTTCTGCAACAATAGCAAAGCGGGGATGTACTGTACTTTAACATATGATACTTCTTATTGAAGTAAAAGCTGACAGTGAAGAGTTTAATGGCTATAATTTGAGTCGAAATTCGCTTTATTTAAATAAAGATATAACTTTATTAAAGTGTCGTAAGCAAAAATTAATTTTTTACGAAGTGTTCAAAAATACTGAAACTCTATATAGATTTAGAAAGAATTTTTGTGTTTTATATTATTAGTATTATTTTGTAGGGGAACAATGAAAGAGACTTGTAATTTAAATAAATAAAGGCTGAAAAAAAGATATTTCACATAATAAAGAGCAAAGGCGTTGATCTAACAATGCTTTTTCAGGGTTGTGTAGTATATGACCAAAGCAAACCTTGAAGTAAAAATTATAGTCTCTTTTAACAATGTTTTTATTCATCGTTAAAAAATAATTTTGTAGCAACTAAATTTAATATAGGAGGACTACTATTCCAATACTTCTTGTGCAAAGCGAATCGTTGAAGATTTATTACTTGTTAAAATTCTTTTAACGAAAAACTTTTTAAAAATGAATTTACTGTCATTAAGATCTTGTAGTTTTTAAGTTGAAACAGATGGACAGCTAAATTCACCCGTGCTATAATAAAATCATTTTAAAAGTGAATAACTTCTGAGGGGATACAAAAGTTACGAAAATATATTTTTTGATCTCAAAGAACTCAAGAAAAATGTTACCGTTTTTAGCAGCTTTTATTTGATTTTTTTAAGGTTGCAGAGATATTATTTCTCATTACTTTTAAAATATTTAAAAACTTGTAATATTAACTTAAGTGGTGCAACTGATTTTTATACGCAGCATTCTTTTAATCTTTTTAAGATTAATTTAAAACTGCTTTAAGCTATAGATAAATTCAAAGAGATATATATTTTTAGCGGGTTGTTATATTTATATTTTTTATTAAGAAAATATGTTTTTATTAAGGGAGTGACCTCTCTTTAATTATTGTTTGTGACCTAATAGAACTCTTTAAGAGCCGTAATTGAATTTCACAAGGATAAAAACGAACTTCCTTGCATCCAAGCTATAATAGTGAAAGGCGCCGAGGACTTATCGATAAAAATATCCGACCAGGGAGGAGGAATTCCTCGTTCAGATTGGCTTTCTGTTAATTCTTATATGTTCTCCACGGCAAATGTAAAGCGCTTATTATTATTATTATCGTAAATATTCGTTATCGCTTTTGTAATTATTATTACTTTTTATTTATTTATAGAAGATTCCAGAATTATCCATATCTCCCACCTTCGATATAAATAACGCACCTCTCGCTGGTTATGGGTTCGGACTTCCTCTTAGTCGTTTGGTAATTCATTATTTTAATATATCTTTAATTTAACTATATTTACATAAAAATTTCTTTATCCCTTCATGTAGAGGTAAGGAAAGTTCAGCTTTTTAATTGTATTTATAATAGTGTCAATCATTTTTATTTTACGTTTTAATATAAAAGTAAAAAATTTTATATTTATGATATTATAATAGCCTCTCGGTATCTAGTAAACATTTTTTTTTTACTTTTATGTTTTTACTATTTAAATAAAAATATATTTATATATCTAAAAGTTTTTAATATAATTTTTATTTTTTTCTTTGCTTTATATAATTAATTATTTAAAAACTTTATGAAAATAAAGACGTGGATTATTAAAAAATATTCTAAAAAGCACGTTTAAGTAAATACCTAAAATTCAAACTATTAATTATGAAAAAGTGACTTTTACATATAAAAATGATATGAAGAGTGGAAACCTTAAAATAGTTTCCTAATTGGCTTATGGCTTTTAAAGTTATCCATTGTTTGGTTAAAAATTAATTTATTTTTCTAAAAAATTACTAAAAATTTTCTTGTTAAAAATCATGTAAAAAAAAGTTTTATTACTGTTTTACGTTATTAAAAGTTTTAAAATTTTCAAATTTCAAATTTTTTTTCCTCATTTTTCCAGTATAATAATAATAATTATTATTAAGTACGCAAAGTACCTCGGAGGTGACCTGCAAATTATTTCTCTAGAAAATTATGGCACTGATGCTTACATTCACTTAAAAGTTTATAAATTTATTATATTAATTTTTTTATTCTTATAAAATTTTACTTTTATATTTTTATTTATAATATTAACAATGTGAAGTTTAAACAATAAATATATAAAAAAAACTGCTTTTTAAGTTTTTTTCGTGAAAACATTAGTGATATAAACACCAATAGAATAATAGTAATAAATATTAAGGAGGTATAATTATAAAAATATATATTAATAGCCAATAAAAAGTTTATAACCATAAAAACATATTTTCAATAATTTTAATGCAACTTAAAAAATTTAATGGCGAATAACAGCCGACTAATGTTTTTTATAATATTTGGTGTAATTCGAAGTTAGTTTAATATTAATAATTAATAGCCTTCCTTTTACAAAGTTTGTGCTAAAAAATTAACACAACTAAAAGTTTATAATATAAATGTATACCTTTGATTGTAGTGAATATTGATAAAAATTTAGCATTTAAATTAAAAAATAATTAATAAAAGTCTATAATTATATTGTTAATAAATTTTAGCTCGAATAGTTAACCGAATAAAAAATAGTCATTAAATTTGTGCATATTAATTTTTTGTGCAAATCAATTAATAAAATGAGCGTTAATAGAAAAATAATTAAGAAAATTATAGTGCATAAAAATTCAAATATAAACTTATATTGAAATAATTCATTTATAACTGTTTTAATGATTTTAATATGAATCATTTAGAAAATATAGAATGTTAATGGGAAAAAATTATAACGAGTGAGAATGTTTTAAAAATTATTTAACCATTAAAAAAAGTTATTTTTATTAGTTGGAATATCATTATTATTTAGTAATTATTATTATTAGGCAACTGCTAAGGACTCAAGCGAAGTACTTCCGGCCTTTAGCCCAGCCGCCATAAAGAACTACAGCTCTATTATCCCTTTAAAGTGGAAAATATTAAAATAATAATAAATGGCCGATAAAATTTTTTTCCCTTTCTATCCAAACGACTTCTCATTAGCTATGCGAATATAAAAAATATTAGAAAATTTTTTGTAAAATATGCGTTATGTTAGCTTATATATTATTACAAGTAATATTATACTTATCCTTTTATTTATTACTTTCGTTAAAAAAAAAAAGTGGCTCCTTTCAAGCTTTTTACATCATATTATGAATTATAAAAAAATCACTATGAAAAAGTTCTTGAAGAATAATAGCGTAATAAAAGTTGATTGTTTTGTAAAAGCTTCTATTCATTTATTATATTTTCTAATCCTCCCAAAAGCCTTATTTATTTCGTAAATCTTCTGTTTTGGATTGGTCTCCTTTTCTATTTGAAACGTTCTATTAAGTAGAAATATTATTTATTCGTTAGTACATAAAAAAAAAAAATGAATAATAATAATAAATAGAATAAGTGGGTGCACTCTTCTTTAGTATGCTTGCAGTATTGAAGTATATAAAGAAGTTCAGGCGGGCTTTCCATATCCATAATAGACAAAATGTTTAACAAATATTCTAGTAAAAAGTAAACATTTTTAGTTACTTCTTTTTATAAGTTACTAACTTTTTTTTTACATTAAATTATTTATTTTTATTATTTTAAATATATTCAGTAATGCTCTAATAAATATCTCATTTTTTATTATTTTATTATTAATTACTTATTTCTACATTAAGTTATAATATTTTTTTTTTGTTTATTGAAATTTTTTTATTTATACGTGCAATTTTTATTTATCACTTGATTTATTTATTGACAATAATTTATACTTTATAATTTATCACCATCATATTACGTTCATTTACTTCTAAATTCATGTTTATAATGTTTTTACTTATTATTTTTTTCTTAGTCCTCTATTAATACAAATCATTTTTTTTCAGTAATAATTATTAAAATTTTATTATAATCCAAAATATTGTTTTTTTTATTAAATCATTTATTAAATTTTACATTATTTTATAATTTACTTATTTATTTCATCAAACATTAATTACTAATTATTTTATTACGTTTTCTTCATAATAGTTTTATTATTTATTTCTTTATCTTATGTAATTACTATATATATTTATTTAATAGTTATCATCATTTTATTTCATATTAAAAATTATTTATATTTTAATCATTTATTTATCACTAATTATTTAGTACTATAAATATTTATCCATTCACATTAATTTATAATATTTTTATTTTATATTTATTACTTTTATAAGATTTATTATTTTATTTTGCATTATTTTTGGATATTTTTTAATTATTTTATTTTCATTATGTTTATCATTTATTTCTTTTTAACCAATGTCTACACAAAGCTGATTGGCGCCCAAATCAGTAAGTTGGGGAATTGCTAGAATAGACTGAACATATAAATCCTTCATTTTTGATACAACCGCCTCAAGCCACGTGCTGGCGTAAAATCCTTCACTAATGATAAAAAAGTGAAAATTATATTGTAATATTTAATTCTAAAAAAAAAAACAGTGGCAAAACACGTGAAAAAACACGTGGTTCCTATCTTAGTATATAACATGCTTTATCACGCGCAAATTAAAAATACAATATTTAAACAACTTATAAAACAAGTAATGCTTTAAAAAGTATTGCCAATAAAATTTTGACAATTACATAAAATTTAAAGAAATTAAAAAGGCTTATAAATAAACTTTTTTACGAAATGTATAATATATATAGCGATATTCCTTAAATTCATTAAAAAGAATAATAGAAAAAAATACACGAAACCATCTGAAACGAATATATTATAATTATTAAATTTAATGAAAATAAGTTGCCTAATAAATAGGAAATTAAGAACTCGTTTAATACTTACACAGAACTTTTTTGATATAAATGAAAAGTCGCGTAAAATTCGATACAAATAAATTATTAAAAAATACGTAAAATTTAGGGGAATAAATAATATGTATGAATAAATTCATTAAATTTCATGAAAAAAAAAGTAACATTAATTTTAATGAAATGAATAATACATAAAATTAATATATTAGTTATAAAATTTTGTAAAGAAAAAAATAAATATTTTCAGAGTAAATCAAATAATTTAATAATTCAGTAAAATCAATGAGGTGAGTAAAAAAAAAATCAATAAATTTAGTGACACCCTATTAGTATTAAAAAATAAAATATTTAAAAAATAATAAAAATTTCATTATAAACGATAAAACTTATAAGTGGAGCTAACAAAAAAAGTTTTTTTAATATAAACAAATCTCATTAATAATATTGAAATATTTAAATAAAAATTCAATAAATGTAATGATTTTCTATTCTAATAGTTTTTATATATAAATATTATAAAGTTTGCTCTAAATATTAGCAATAAATAAGTTTTGGTAAATACACAACTTATAATAAATATTTATATTCAATGTATATAAAGAAGTATATAAGTAAAAATACAATAAAAAAAATTAGTGAGAATTTTGTAGTTTTAGTAAATAATAAATAATTATGCTAAAGAATTAAATACTTAAAATAGTAGTAAAACATGCAATTTAGAGTAAAATATTATATTCACTATATATAATGTAATGTATACTTAAAAATATTCAATAAATTAAATGACTTTATATAAATTTAGTAGTTTTTATATATACAAAAGAAAATAATTATAAATAAATTGAAATATAATTTAGTGGATAGTTGAGAAGATATACATAAAAAGTACTGAATAACTTAAAGTAGTAATAAAATAATGAAATATATATGAAGAATTCAATATATATTAACCAAATATAGTAACCGTTTTCTATAAAGAATTTTAAAGAAAAATGAATAATCATAAAATTTATGAAACTTTTATACAGTGAAATAATGAAATATTATTAAAATCATAAAAAAAGTATTAAACTTTTGCGCAACAAAAATAATAAAAGAAAAAAAAGTTTATAAAAATACTGATATATTTAAATAAATAGATAAACACTTATAATATTTAATATATATAATTTTATTAAATATTTTTTACAATAAATATAATGAGATAAAAGTATAATAAATTTATAAAATTTAATAGAAGAAATTAAAATATACATATATTATAAGTTTCAATGAAAAATAAAAATTATATAAAATATTTTATACAACAAATATTATAATGAAGACAAAATTCATTGAACTTATTGGTTACTATATTATTATAAAAAATATATATAAATAAATAGAAAAAAAAACTTTGAAAAAATTAATAAAAATATATGAAAATTGGACAAAAATCAGGAAATTTATGAATAATATTTTTTTTAAAACATAATTATATTCAGTGAAAATAATGATATATAAATTGATGACAAAAAATTTAACCCAACGCATAAGAAATACATATATAAATATTTTTCTTAACAAGTAACTAATAAAATATTAAAAAACAGATAAAATTATATAAAATATTTAATACAAAACATATGAAATATAATTTCCAACAAAAACCATTAAAATTATTGAATAACAATTTTTTTTTAACAAAAAATTATATATAGTAAAAATAATGATATATAAAATAATAACATATATATATTAAGTTTCAACCCCCAAAAAATGACAAAAATAAAAATTTTCTAATCATTAAAAATAATGAATAACACAGTTGTAAAGGATATTAAATTCAGTAAATATGATGATATAAGAAATAATAATAAATGTTATTATAAATTTAAAGAAAGTAATATTTATAATATATATAATTATATATAATTTTTAATAGAACAGATATAATAATGTACATATTAAAAAATTCATAATAATTCATGAAAAAAATTAAATTTAGTAAAATATTTAAATTAACAAATCAATTGTAATAAATGATATAAATATTAATAAAAAGGTTTTGAACAATAATTACAATGATATAGAAATAATAACAAATTTATTAAAAGTAAAGAAATAATAAATATATATAGAGTTATTAAGATATTTTATGAAAGATAATATACAAAAAAATTTCATTATAAATAACGAATAACTTATTAAGGAAATACATCAATGAAATTGCAACAAATATAATGATTATATAATCAAAAAAATTCATTATATTTTATGAACGAAATATATATAGTTGTATAAAATTTTATGCATAAAAAAATTTATTAAATATACTAATGAAATTTAGTAAATGTTATAAATATTATTAAAACATTTTTATACAACAAATATAATGATATAGAAAATTATTACAAATTTTATGAAAAGCAAAGAAAAAATTAATAATATATATAAAGTTACATAAGATATTTTTATTATATAAATTAACAAAAATCACTAAAATTAGAAATAATATATATATGAAATTAATATATAATATGCAACAAATATAATGATTATATTAATAACGAAATCATTAAAATTTTCGACAAAATGTTTTATATTTACAAATAAAATTAATTAATGATATAAATATTAATAAAATATTTTTATACAACAAATATATGGATATAGAAAATAATAACAAATTTCATTAAAAGGGGTATTAATATATATAACGTTAAATAGATACTTTTGTTAATAATCAAATTAAAAAATTCATTAAAAATGAATAATTTTAATATTAATAAAGAAAATTTTGATATAAAATTATATAATATATAAAATACAACAGAAATAATGACAGAAAAAAGCAAAAAAAAATTCATAAATCATATAAAAATTCATATTATATAATGAATACAGTAAATATATTATTAGAAAAAAAAATAACGAAATTATAAAATTATACTTACAACTTTTTATATTTATTAAAAATTATTTATTAATACAATTAATACAATGTAAAAATAATACTATCAAAATACATAAACGCATGTATATTAAAAATATATAAATGCTATAAAGCAACAATAAATTTAGTGAATTAATTAAACATTATTTGAAGCACCACCAATTTAATATATAAATAAATATTAACAAATTCACAAGCAAAAAATTATGAAAGCTGCTTAACTCGTTGGCCACTTGGTGTGTGAAAGCTGTTGACGCTTGTTCAACATTTGGGGTTACGCCTTTAGAAAGCGCCAGAAACATACAAAAACTTTCAGGCTCATTTTTTTTCAAAATTAACGGCTCCAATTGTTGGGGTAAGTCCAAAAGGCGCTGGCCAATCTAGATTGTTTATTTATGTAATGTAATGCCTATCGATTGGTATTTACTATACTCTTATTTTATTGGTTAATGCTAACTTGTTGTGTCAATTGATTGCTAATTTAATTTATTGTCATAAAATTACTTGAGAAATATAAGTTTGATGGCGGATACTAAAAGAAGCTGAGGATGCTGAAGCGTTGCTTTTCAAGGCGGACCACGCCTATTGTAAATAATAATAATACATCGAAAAAAAATATTTTAGTTTTCATTATTACTTTCGATATTTTATTTGTTTTTTATTTGCTTTTTATATTTAATAATATTATAAAAAATATATCATTTCTAGTTTTCATTATTACTTTTGACATTTTATTTATATTTGCTTTCTATATTCGAAATATTTTTTTTCATTATTTTTATTTTATTTTTTAATTTCTTTTATATATTTAATATTATCACTAAAAAAATATTTATTTAAGTTTTTATATTTATTTTTTATTTGCTTTTATTCTTAATATCAATAGCATAAATAATATATTCTCAGAATATTATATTTTTTTTTTGCTTTTTCTTTCTTATAATAATATAGCATTAATAATATTTAGTTATTATTTATAAGATTGATTATTATTTTCATTTTGATATATATATATATATTATATAATTATTATGATAATAAAATTTACTTATTATTATTTATAAGTTTTATATTTCTTGTTATCATATTTACTTGCTATTATAATTTTATTATTATAAAATATTTATCACTACTAAGATTTACTTATTATTTGATTTAATTATTATAACTATTTTTACT